TTCACAGGCTTTTAAGCACTGCCTCCATGTGACTGATACTCACAGGCTTTTAAGCCCTGCCTCCATGTGACTGATTTTCACAGGCTTTTGAGCACTGCCTCCATGTGACTGATACTCACATCCGTATCAGTCACATGGAGGCAGTGCTCAAAAGCCTGAATTTTGCCTGAAACTCTCAGACTGAAGAAGTCTCTTGGAGGAGAGACGAAACGTTTCATTAGAGAAGAACCCGTCCAGAAGACCTATACAATTTTTTTCTTTTTTGATTTCAATGAGAACTTTTTTCTGAATGAGATTAAAACAATATAAATACTTTTAAATGTATTAAAAGTAATAAAACATAAAATAACTTTGTCATTCCCAACTGAGCTGAACGTTTTGACATGCTAAAGTAGAACAAAGTCTGCATGAGTAGTTATAAAAATGTCTGCAAAAAGTAAAATAAGATGACTGCTGAATCACATTCGGACGCTGTAACACACATCAACATGTTTTTACTTCGTCAAATCCGATTATGTTTTCATGCTCCAGGAGATGGCTCAGCGTGGTATTTTCTTTTTGGGCAGGAAATCTTGGCCGACTCCTGGGTGTGTGTCGGTGGGTCCCAGCCTCACGTCGGAGCCGGGGCCTGATTGTTTTTGACAGATGTGAGGCATGTGACCGTACAGCTAGAATTCCATTATCGGCAGCAGATGATAGAGTCTCTGTGTTACGCTGGATTTCAGGCTTTTGCTGGTGGGAGTCTGACCTGACCTGTGACTTTGTCCAAGCTCTGTGCTTTCTGAGGCAGATGTGTGAGCCAGCTTTAGACAAACTCTTCTACTACTTTGTATACAAGTACTACTACTATTGTACTCCTCTTCCTGCTGCTTGCAGGGCTACTTCTCCCACAAGGAAAACTAATCAGTATCAGGCAGTTTATGTGTGAAAAACTAAACTGTTACCTTTCAGTAAGTCGTACCGAGAGGCCTTACATTCCTTGAAGGAATTTTGCTTCCGCCGTTTATTTGTGTGAATGCTTATTAACCCTTCAAAATTATGAAATGATCCATTTTTCTTCTTCATTTTTTGGCACGTAACAGTTTATGCTATTTCTACAATTTATACATCAAAACGTTCAGCTCCTTCAAGATATTTTGGCTATGACTTTTGGTGTTTCAGCGATGTGTACTTTTTAAGATATTAAGCTTTTAATGATTTTTTTTTCCTCATTGAAAATAATTGGGGCGATCTTAAAGATCCTTAAAACTTTTTAAAATGTTTATAAATCTTTACTACTGTATGTTTTATCTTTTGTTCTGGTTCTGCTTTTTTAACTTTTGTGCTCATTTCGGTTTCCTTTAGCTTGTTGTTTTTGATAATTTTAGCTTCTTTGGCTATTATCATTTTGCTACTTTCAGCTGCTTTCTGTTTCAGTTTTGTTTCTTTCAGCTAATTATTTTTTCAGCTGCTTTCTGCTAATACCAGCTGTCGTCCACCATTTTAGCTGTAATCAGGTAATGTTAGCTTCATTTCAGCTAAATTCACCCTTTTGTGATATTTTCAGCTCCTTAGTGCTTAATTCAACAAACATGCTCTTTCTGCTCTTTATGCTAGGTACTTGTTAGCTTTTATCAGCTAACTTCAGCGGTTTTAGCTATCTTACAACAAATTTGAGCTCATTTGTTTTTCATGCTTATTCACCAACTTTCAGTAAAAATCATAAAACTATAAGCATTGACACTCTATTTATGTGTGTTTTGTTTGTATTTGCAAACACTGGTTTGAACCAGTTTAAAACGTATTGAACTTCTAACAGTAATAAATTTATTATTTTCTGTTTTACTGTTCTGTCAAACTTGTCTTTTTATTTGAATTAGATGAGCAATGATTTATTCTACACGTAATAAAAAGAGCTTGGAGTTGAACGGACCTGTGTTTGGTAGGGCAGTAGAATGTTTACGAGGGGATTTAGGTCCTTTCAGGTGACGCTGAAAGCCATTATTTCAGACACCTGGCAGAAAATGATAAGTCAGACAGGTTATTTCCTGCCAGTTATCTATATTATCAAACACAACAGCAGGGAATAAATTAGAACTGAATCTCCTGCAGGACGACAACAATAAAAGACATCTGATACTGCAAAATATCCACCTGTCCTCCTGTTTTTCTGTTTTTTTCACCTCACCCTAGTTAGCAGGACAGAGCAGCCCTTGTATGATCTCAGGACTGTGCCCCAATTTTCTTTTTTTTTTCTTAAAAAAAGAAAAAAAAGGATTCCATGGCAGCACTGTTCCTGTGACAAGAAGCCCCGACTTTTGCCCCTCCTGCTCCCGAAACAAAGGCCAGAAGTTACGGTGGAAGAGGGGGGAGGGAGAGCGTTTAGCGGAGGCTCTGAGGCGAGACCTCCTCTGCTGTGTGTGTCCGAGTCCCATAAAACCAGAAGACTTATGATACCGAGGGCAGTGCCAGGGATCGTCTCTCTGTCTTTATGTCTGAACCCCTGAATGGATCGGTGTCCCGGTTGTTGACTCCCTCGCTGTCCCACTGGGACGCCACAATGGGAGCAAGGTGTGTGTGTGTGTGTGTGTTTTGATCTCAAACTCACTGCCAGAGAATTTGCCAAGGCAGCACTTTGCAGTTTCTTTTGACATCGTTGAAAACACCTGTCACAAATTTAACAAGCTCTGTTTTTGCCAAGAAAAAGTATCAGAATGATTTTCAAGTTTATTGGAACAGTGAGTTAGAAAAGTGTCTAAATTTTCCACTTGAGCTGCGAAATATTTACTTTTATAGTTCTGAATAATTCCACTGTATCGAGGAGAACTCCCACCTTCCAAACCCAGCTCTGAAAGAATGCAAACACTTTTCTCTCTCTTTTAAAAAAAAAAACTAGTACAAACTAAATCTCCTTCACTTGCTTGTTCTATGGAAGAGAAAGACCAGAGTGTAAGGTTGTTTTTGCTGTGTTTGTTACGTTCTCTGGTTTAATCCCCTATTTTATCAAGTCTTGTAGTCCTGTCTCTGTGGTGGAACCCATGTTTTGGGTTAGATTTAGAACTGAGTTTAGGGTTAGGGTCAGGAATGTACTAGTAAGCCTGTTAATCAACCATTCATTCAAATCAGGTGTTCTAGAACAGGGGTTCTTAAGCCATTTGGGTCTGGGGACCCCTTACAACAGTGTTTCCCAAAGTTGGGGTCGGGACCCAAAGTGGGGTCCCGAAACATCAAGGTGGGGTCCTGAAAATATTTTCAGAATTAATTACGTTTTTGCCTTAGTTGTTACAAAGGAGTGAGGTTAGTATATTTAAAATGGTGAAATGTAGTATAAAAATATTGTTACTCTGCCCATGTTTAGTTAACCTGATACAAATGTTTATCATCCAAAAATAGTTGGGGGCACAGGTCTCTACTGTTATTTTGTGGGTCAAAAGCTGAAAAGTTTGGGAACCACTGCACTTTGGTTCCCAAAGTTGGGCTTGGGACCCAATTATGGGTCATAAAGCACCTTGGATAATCTCCAGAAATCAATAATAAAATAATTGCTGATGTAATATTTTCCCTATAACTATTACAAAACACTAAATAAGTATAAGTAAATATTTATATTTGTGTACAAG